AAGGAAGGAAGGAAGGAAGGAAGGAAGGAAGGAAGGAAGGAAGGAAGGAAGGAAGGAAGGAAGGAAGGAAGGAAGGAAGGAAGGAAGGAAGGAAGGAAGGAAGGAAGGAAGGAAGGAAGGAAGGAAGGAAGTTTCTATCAGATGCAACAGAAGGTAAGATTAAGATAAAAAATGTGCCATCTGTTCTTAGTAGATGAAGAACTAAACTGAAAGAGTAACTTTTCTTTTGCACTCATATGGGGAGTTCTAAGGGTTGAACTTAAAAGTTGTTATTCAATATTGCCTGCAGAAATATGAAGAGATTGGATTAAGGACAAAGGAAATCCTCAAAAATGCTAAAAGTGCAGTTAGAGTATTTCTCAAAGGCATATCACTCATTGCATCAATCTATTATAGGAATCTTTATCTCAGCTCTTTTCTATCTCTGTGTAGCAATTCCATGGGAAGCAGAAAGAGGAGCAGATAATGCCTGTATGTGTCTAGGCCAGCCAGTTCTCCTGGGAGTAGCCCATAGAATGTTGGGAGTTGTTTTGGCTGTTAATTGCTCTAGAGTTAGAAAAAATGGTATTCAGGTTAATTTTCTTCCAGATGTGCAATAATATGAACATGTATTCTCTATGTTGATTCTATAGTAGTAGACAAAAGATCCAAAATATAAAAGGAGACTTGATTCTGATCTCAGAGCATTTGTCTATAATAATACTTCTCTAACTGCCAGGGACTTGATCTTTATTTATCCTGCTGTAGCCAGAAATTGATACAATCCCAAAGGAATTAGCACAGATCTCACCGTTTGGGTCACTAATCCCAAAAGAACATAACTGTATTTTGCTTTTGCACTTTAGGCATGAAAACTGGAAGCACCTAGTCTCTTTGTCTCTATGTGGATAAACATGGCAAAAAGAATGAGAGGCAGACACAGACACAGTATATAAAAAATACATTTCGGAATTTTTATAGATTTGTCAGTCATTTTAAGTGATATAACATAAGCAAATCACTTTCAGTGATGTTTTGGCAATGCACTCAAATTTACTACAAGCTGTGGAATATAGAAAAATAAGCTTGAGAAAAAGCTATTGAAATTCAATTATAGGAAGGACAGCTATTCTAACAAAAAATATATATATGATAGAAAAAAAACCCACAATGTATTTATTGTGGCTTAATTTGGGAAATAACACAGCAATGTACCAAATATTTCTATTAAATTCCAAGTACTCTGAACTATTTTACATTGCTGACAGGTTGGAAATCAACACCTTGTAGAAGCAAACCACCAGGGAAGATTTCCAGCTTGATCATAAATAAAGATTTAGCGATTTGACAAAGCAAATTGGAACATGACAAAGAAAGTTTGATCAGCACAAATCATGAAAAATCACCAGCAAAATGCAGAGTTCAAATTCTGTTGTGGTCATGTATATTCTTACATGTTGCTAAATGAAAAATCTATTAATGCCACAAAGGCACATGACAAGCATGATATCAAATTTGCAATTTAGAAATGAGCAACATAAATAGTTGTTTCATATTAGTAGAAAGAGTCGGAGGCTAAATCTGAGTTGTCTTTATTTTTTTATTTTTAATTGTTTCTAGTTAAAGAGAAGAGCCAGAAGCTGTTATCAAAACCAAACCTAAACAAAATGGAACTACATTTACTTTGCTAAAACTATAAAAATACAAAGAATTAAAAAAAAAAAAAAAAAAAGGAGGGGAGAACGTGAATTAATTCCTCCTGACGAAAATGTAATTCCTAATGTTTTTCCTTGAGAGGTGAGCATGGCCTAGAGAAAATGCTTGCTGAAGTATTGTACATAGTAGAATAAAGATCAGTAAACTATGGAAAAAATATCGAAAGAGTTTTAATCAGTTTAAAACAGTTGATGATTTGACACTATATTTTATCTTAGAAATATAGCAAACATTCTAGTTTACATTTTAAGGCACAATTTATGATATTCACACATCTTTTATGAGATATTCTGTAAAATGGACTTCAGGGCTAATGGGGGGCAAAAGCAAATTAATGCAGACAAAGAATTCTGATGACTTTGATGAACCTTTATCAAAGATTTTCACACAATGTGAGAAATGAGGAGAAGAGCAAATTGAAGCAGATGTATGTATGTGTGAGTTTGCCATCAATGAACACATGAAAGGAAACGTCAGCAGTGTGATTCCTAGTGAGCGTATCTTAATTTAGTAAGACAACTTTGATAAACAAGATTATTAACCCAAATAATATTTAGCTAATAAAAGAATAAAACAACATAAAAGTTTCATAAACTGAGAGAACTACAACTCCTAGATGCTCAGTGAGCTACTTGAAACATGGAGAATGTAGAGAGAGTAAGAATATGACAAAAGGAAAGTTATTGTCTAGGAGATACTAGCAAGTGGATGAATACCGGGCCCATTAGAAAGCTTTAAACTGCATTTTCATTGAACATGAGGGAAAAAGTCCTACTCTCTGTAGCTTATAGTATTATCACCCTCGTATGATTGAAATACTTCAACTTCTTCCAGGGAGTCTGAAAGGCAAACATTTTATGCATTCATGGCTATATGAAGAGTGTTTCACACTTACAGTACAAACCAATCTTTATTGATGCTGTTTCACTTGGGAGGTACCACCACCTTCTCCAGCTGATGCTAAAAAAGCCTCAGCTCTGCTCTCCGTTTCTGTTCAATGCCCTTCAAATATCATGTAAGTAAACAAGGGAATGCTCTCACTGCATATAAACTAGTTGTTTTCTTCATATTTTTTGTGGGATTTAGAACTCCCCTAGGTCCACAGTCAAAAATGTAACAAAGTATGTTTTCAGGTAACGACAGTAAAATTTCATGCTTTTACAGTAGATGTAAATATCAAGTAGAATAAAATGCTGCAGTAAAGACATTGCCTAGATGTGAATCAGATGTGAGTGATTTACTTATTTCACTCATAAAAAATGAGATGTAAATGTCACTGCTATTACTATATTATTAATAATCTTTTATTTTTACTAGTTACTATTAAGCAAATAACAAAATAATAACTTGAGAAATAAGCTGTCCATAATGTAAAGTACTCTGTGTTCCTAGGGAATGACACAGATCACTGATGTCATAACCTTCAGAAAAACCACCCCTATAGTCCTGTTCAACTTGTGTAGAAGTGTGGGTGTCTGAACAGCTGTGAACAGCATATAGCAAACCTAGAACTGCTCCAATACAAATAAATGCTGCAGAATGCTTGTTTTAATGCCCATTTTCTACATTTGTTAAGTAAGATTAAAAAATAAACAAAAGCCCACAACATTACATGGTGTAAGAATGGAGTGGAATTTTTTGAGACTTCTCCAGTGTGAAACAAGGTATAATTCAAGGATGTGTAAAGAGATGGGTTATCTAATTTTTGATTTGTTGCTATTTTAGCTAAAGATGATCTTTCCCCCCAAAAATGATAATATTTTAAGTTCCTTTTTAACCTCCAGTAAGAAAAAAAATAATTTACTTGATCTGAATAGTATAATGTTATGGTTTAACATAATTATAGTGTCATCTAAGAGCCTCTGGTATTTCACCATATTTTTAGATAAGTATATTTTAAATCATTACTTTCTGTGAGTGCAACACATGAGGGTTATTAATGCCTCCTATTTTGTGATGTTGGCCCACGACATCAGAGGCAGATGTTGGAGGCATATCAGTAGAAGTTGAATCTTCCACCAGTATTCCATTACATGTTTTTGCCGTGTGACAGATGGCAGCAGAGGAGCAGTCTGACAGAATGGCATCTAACATGGGAGTTCTGATGAAACAAAGATGTGTCACTGAATTTCTCTATGTGGAAAAAATGGCACCCACTGACATTCATCAATGCTTGCTGAACATTTATAGATACCAAACCGTGGATGTGAGCACAATGAGGCAGTGGGTGGTGTATTTCAGCAGTGGGGACAGCAATGTGAAAGACAAGCCACATTCTGGATTGCCATATGTAGCTTTCACATCATGAAATGGGCATCTCAATCAATTTATCCCCTTCAATTGGTTAATGGTGGTGACTGTTGAAAGAATAGTGTTTAGTAGATGAGAATTTTCTCTATCAAGTAATGTTATTGTGGTCTTTGTATCTGATGTAGTTTCCATGGAAATAAACAGGAGACATTACTTTCAAAGTCACCTTCATATATCTGTTCATAAACTGGATATCATTGATTTTCCTACTCTGAACTAGTAAAAGAAACAGCGTTAACCAGCAGTTCCACTGGGATGTAGTTGTTTCATGATTACTGGATGTAATTATAAAATAGACAGTGTGGAATCACTCTATTCACTATTTCTCTATTTCAGGCTTCCCATGCAATTGCTGTAATTAGTAGGCAACAAAGAAAATCTATTTGATTTTGACCCAATAAGCAGTCAAATAACGTTTGTAAAGAAGACCCCGTGAATGATACAGTTTTTTTCCCTTTTTTTTTCTTTTTCTTTTTTTCACATGAATTTAAATCTTTGCCTCCCTTCAGCCTCACAACAACTTCTACCATTGTCTACTGTAGAAAACTGTTGTGCCAGTTCCTCCGGGCATGGTCCCAGCTCTGAACCTCAGTAATGTTGTATATATATTAGCAACTCAGTGCTTTCAAGATTTGAATAGCTGAGTGTATTTGCTGTGATTGTGAATTTATGCACTGTGAATACTATATCTCACTGATATCTCACAGCCTTTTGGAAAATCCCCACTTTGGTCTTGATAGCAAACTCAAAAGTTGATGAATGGATTAGTGAATCCAGAATGATGGTTTTAAAAATTATATGAGTTTCTTTATTTCATTGAAATAAATGAGATTACAATGACTTAGAAGCCTCAAAAATCCTATGAAATGATTAAGGAAGAACCCTACTCAATGTAAAATTGAAGTTTAAGCTTAAAGTTTTTTGATCAAGAACAGGGACTTGATAATATATTTAGAAATACTGATGAGTTCTCTTTTTTTTTTTTTTTTTCCCAGTCTGGAACTCAGAGGGCTTCTTGAAGGTAAATAAATATTATCTTTATTTATATTACAGAGATGTAAAAAAGATTGAACTTTTTAAAGTGAGATATGGATGCAGATTCAAAGTTTTTCCATTAAATTTAGCTCTTTCACTCATATCCACAGAAAGAAAGAATGATCTTAACCATAGAAAAATGCAAAACTGATAGTAATTTTACATTTGTACAGTGTATAATTAGCCTTCAGCCATTGTATCTACTGTTGTCTTTTTTCACAGAATTAGTAAATAAGGTCAAACCAAATCATCCAAAGAGGCATTAGCATGTCTTATGAATGAATAGAAATCTGGAACATTTTAGTAGAGTTTGCTTGGAGCTGGATAGCAGTTTAAGTATGGACTTTACTTAACGACCATGAACATTCATTGTTGAGCTAGAAGAGTTCGATAAGCAGTATGTTGTGTAGTTGAGACAGTAAGGTAACTCAGTTGTTTTAAGTGCTGAAGCTATTATTGTCTGGAAGCGTAACCGTGAAATAAGGTTAATGCTAACATCACTCTTAGTGAAGTTAAAGTTGAATCAACAAAGTGACATTTTTTAAAAAGTAAAATACTACTTCAATTTAATAAAAAGCTAGCTTCTTGATTAAATGTGCAGGAAGCAAGCTGTTCATTCTTTAAATCACAAAAAAAAAAAAAAATCAAAGGAATGTAATATCTGTATGGATCCATGTACTCAGGCGAAATGTACTCAATGTATGTAATAATGAATACAGAAATTACAGAATTTTATTTGTTTTACACAGCACAGACTGGAAGCAGAAAAGTAAGTAGGTGTCCTGAGTTTCAAATTCCAGAACTGCTACTGGAACCAGACAAGAATCAGATCAGTCCCGTTTTCAGTGAACTATAATCCCGTAACACATAACACAATTTCAGCCCAAACTCTCCCCACTAATTTCATAGGCTTTCCTTATTTCTGTCTTAATCTAACCTTTTCCTGGATCCAAAATATAATCTCCACCACTTTTTTTCCAACTGTGATGTTATATTTTACTATTTTGCACTTCCTTTGGGGCTCTTTCTTTTCTAATTATCACACTAAGTGGATCTGGCTCTCTTTCTCACAGCTTGATCACTTTTTTCCTGTGTGATGCCATCTGCCTAATAGGCTTTCTTATCCGGCTTAAGGGGAGACTGCTACTGTAGTTTCTGCTATATATCTCCAGAGATCTTAATCCATGTTTTCTTATCATTAAAAAAAATCCTTTCTTGTTTTGTAACTGATTTCAGCAACAAGTATTTTAGCAGAGCATGCCTTTCAACAGCATGATCATACAAAGCTCATAAGAAGGTTTCTTACTCAAGACTATAGCCAGTTACAGTTTTTTTGTTCAAATACATTCTTTGAAGAATTATACATATACATATATGCATGTCCTGAAATAAATGTATTTCCTTTATTCTGTCTGCTGGCAGAGTAAAATTCTCACCTAGGAGAAATCAGTATAGATCTGATTGACTTCAGAGATTTTAATAACGTGATCATGAGAGCAGGCCAAAAAAAAAAAAAAAAGTATGATGATTGTTTCTTCTAGATAAATTAATAATAGAAATGTTCCAAGAAATTAAATACTCTGCTGCCGGTGGGGAGTGTAGGTACCTGGGGCTGAATTGAGATGAGCTTACATAATTCTGTATCCTTTCTGGAGGAAGGATCCTGCTCTTTGTACACAACAATGCCTGTGGCATAAAAGCCAGAATATCACTGTCTAATTTACTTACTGTATGATTCATTGATTAATCATTTCTTTGCATTCAGTGCTACTAAACAATGTACAGAAGTAATCCAAGATAATATTAACCTAAGACATACACACACAAAAAAACCCTTCTCTCCAATGTAACTGATTTTGTATCAAAACTATGTGAAAACCTGGCAGACAATAACAAATTTGAATGGAAAATAGCTTGTTCTGCAAATTTTAATTTCAGAAGGGATTTCTTTGTTTTTGATCTTTTGAAGGATGTTATAATTGATACCTTGGTAGTAAAATACAGTCTAATTCAGACCACAATAGAAAACACTGTTGTTCTTTTCCTCACACTTACCCCCTCAGATTTCTAGCAAAGTCCCTCTTGATTTCTAAAACTCCAAGTCTAGCTATACTAGGCCATTATTTGGTAAGTTAGACTATGTTATTAATGACATCATACTTACATATAAATTATTTTAAGAGTGTGATTGTTACCATTCAGCTTGAAACTGTTCATCTCTTATGTTTTTCTCTCTAATGTTGTATTTGTTGTTAAATCATAAAACATACTGGACAAACCAGCAGGCTAGCAAGTAACATGATGAAATTCCAGTGACTTCACTGAGTTTATCTCAGCAAGAGCTTAGACCAAGTTTGTTGGGGCATATGAAATCACATACACAGAGACATTGTGCTACATAGAAAAATACCAGTTTCCCACATCAGTGGACAAGAGAATTATGGAAGTCTTCCCTGAAGCTCTGATGGATCAGATAAGGCTTCTCTGATTGTTGAAATTCTGGCCGTGTGGCATATATCTCACAGACACTTGCTTTGATTAAGTTCATAACACATGTTCAGATTAATTCCTTTCCTTTGACTAGTATATATGTGTAGAATCACCATTTTTCTTTTTAAAATCAATCTTTTCACATTCAAACAAATCCAGTTAGTACACAGGATAAATCAAGTTTACCTCGCCAGTGTTGCTATTTCAACCTAAGTCAGCCTGCACACATCTAATGACAGACAGGATGACATACTGGTCGAAGTAGCACAGGGATGCTGTAGGAATTGCACAAGTACTTCATGAAGCTAGGCATTTGTTTGGTTTTGGTTCATCTTAAGTGGAAATACTGTTCAACTCCAGCCACCTGCATGCACTGCTATTTGAGCTGAAATATGCTTCAGTGCACAAAAAAATTATTCTGCCATCTGCACAATGCCAGTAAAACTAATGCACAGGAAATTTGGATGTGGTGATAAATATATTTGTTGCACTGGTAAAGCCTCTTCACAAATCAATATAGTTTCAGCAGTTCCTCTATACTAACCTGACTGCAGTACTACAGAAGCCAGTAAACGCCAGTTATTCATTAACTGTGGCATCAAAGGTCCCATACATACCTCCATTTTCATTACTACTGCTTTATTTTATATCTCTGTGAATACTGAATGAACTCTCTTGAGTACTGTGGTACTGAATTGTTTGACTTTTCATCCATGTTTCTTAAGACACACCAGTCTGACAAATTCATTATCTATTGCCTGTAGCTTAGCTTGAGCACCTGTGAAAGACATTCCTTTTGAGAAGCTTTCCATTGTGAGAAGATTTAGGCATTGGCTTTGACTTACAAGAGCCTGCTGTAAGTCAATCTCATGGCACTGTGAGTAAGATATCTGGAAAGATATAGCACAGTCACTTACTTGGTTTGAAATACTGGCCAGTTAGATGTGAATTACATCATAGTCGAATCCACCTTGTTCTTGAATTGATCCATTATTTTCCAAAATATTTCATTAATAAATTTAGAAAAAAAAAAAATTCCATCTTGTCAAGAACATTGGCTTATCAAAAATTTGTAATTTGAGGAGATTACAGCAGGCAAAGTTAAAATTGTACAGAAAGCACAGGATGGAAAACTTTCTATGAAAACCCCCCCCACACACAAGAGTAGTTTAAGAACAAAAACAACAACAATAATAAAAATAATAAAAGAATATGAGACCATGCAGAAGAGAATGATAAGAGAGACATTATCAACTTCTATAAAAATAATAAAGTTCAGACACCATTCAGGTTTTCAATGATTTTTTTTTAAAGGGGGTGGGGGGGAGAGAGTCAAAAAAGACAATATGTTGTCTTTTTTGTTTATTAAGTTATGTTTATTCTACTGTGTTACATGGAAATACTACTCTCTCAAATTTAATATTGATACTTCTCTATAAGGTAAAAGGAAGGTTTTCCTAAGACTGCCTAAATTTTAAAAGGCTTTTCAAATTACAGAATAGTAGCAAGTACGATAGTAACAAGAACAACTAAAATGAAAAGATATTATTGCTTCTTTCTTCTACAGTCTTATGTCTAGTTCATCTACAAAACACTCTGTTCTGTTTCCTTGTTTCTTTGTTTTGGTACACAAATAAATATGGGGGATAATAACAGCTGCAAATCCAGTGTCTGTTTTTACTAATATCTGCTTTATAAACACAGGATCTTTTTTTTTCCCTGACAGCTCTCCCAAACTGGCTGATAGTTTTTTGTGTATGGAAGCAACTAGCCCAGACATGGTGAAGGTCAAATAAAAGTACATCTTCTGAGCCTGAAGAAAGCTATTTATTGTGAGAAGCTTCAGGCACTGCACTGCAGAGTAGCTCTAAGATCTTGGAAGATTATTAGATGAAAAGTTAAATTATTTGCCTTTGGACTTACAGTTTAGATTATTTTTCCCGAGTCCTTTCCTGGCTCAAAGAAAGATGGCTATGTAATTTGTATCATTCAGTCTTAGAGAGGTGAAGTACCTGGTATTAAATCAAAATCATAAGTTAAAATATTTCTAATTATCTTAAAGATGATGAATGTGAAAGGAAAAAATTAACCAAAGATATTATAAATGTATCACATCTATTTATAATATATTCAAAACTGAAACAGATGTTTGATTTTTAATGACTGGTATTGCTATAGAAAATTAAGAACCTACCCACTCTGAGCAATCTGATGTCTGCTGATGCCAGCTAAGTTCCACAAATGTGGCAGCTCCTCCAAAGATGGCTCTTCTCTAAGAGGCATCTCGGTGAATTGGACTACTTCACATACCTGCACCCCAAAAATTTTAACCAAAGATGTATGTGACTACGGTATCAAAGACAGAAATGTATTGTAATAACCAAGTCTAACAATTCAGCAACTAGAAACAGAAGTAAACAGAATATTTGTTTGGTTTTTTTTTTAGAGATTTGTAGAGAGAGAAATGCTAATTGGACCAAAGACAGCCATTACACT